TTTTTTTTTTCCATTGAGATGGTGATCGGATACAAAACACTTTTGAAAGACGCGTTATTTGTTCTATCTTGATTTTGTTCCACAATTTCATCAACACAAATTAAAATATGTCGATGTTAACTACAGATTTCCCAATCAAAACCACTATTCTCCACTCACATATTTCTAACTAACAATCAACATATTGACTTTTTTTTTTATCACATCAACATTAATCATTACGCTTGTATCTTATACCCATTCTCTATCAAATAATTAAAAAAATAAAAAATAAAAATAAAAAAATTCTCCCTTCCAAAAAAATTTCCCACCTTTTTCTCATATTTTTTTATGTTCAATCACTAAATTTTTGGAAAAGAAAATCTTTCAGCAGATTATCACACAATTTTACATTTATTTCGCCCACCAGACACGTCACTAATTCTTTTGGAAAGGAAAATTATTCAATAACTCATTATCATGACATACCCTTCATAAATTCTGTTATTCACCCACTTAGGCAACCATATAGATCTCATTAACAATTAACTTACATTATTATATGAAATCAAGTAATCAACTTTAATCATTATATTCCAATCACATTTCCTTAATAAGCTAAAAAAAACTTCATTCTTCATTCAAAAGAAAAAAAGAAATTCATCAGTGAACTTCTGAAATGAAAATACATCTAATTGCACCTAAAGTATTTCCAAAGAAGATCACATAAATATGTCAAGAGACAAACCTCTCCAACAGCAACTCGCAGGACGTGCGGTGTAAAAGCAAGTCCAGCTGAGCTATTCATCCACTCACCTGATCAAATAGAAGACTACTTTAAGCACATCAATGTTAACATATTGCCCCCAAAATTATGTGGAAAATAAATATAGAAACATGTATAGAAATATTTCATTCTATTAAAAGAGTTCGTAACAAGACTAATAAAATGAAAACCCCTAGGGACTATGAGTTAGAGGGAAAACCATACAACCTTCCTATCTATGCCTAATCACATTGTTCAGGAGCTTCAACAAGTGACTTGGAACTAAAAAACAAGATTGTGCCCAGAGGCCGTCAACAGAAACCACCACTTCAAATACCAGACAATCCAAAAATAAATATAATAATAATAATAAAAATAATAAAATCAACCAAAAATTTACCAAGAGGAGCAAGCTTCTGTTTCCATCCCGTCCCACGGGGCCTCCCTTTGGGTTTCTTTTCGCCCGAGCTCATCCCCCCAGATGAATTCTTGGAACCAGAAAGTGGGGACAAACCCAAAGACATATTAGCCCCATCCGGCCCATATTTCCTTGGCCTACCCCTCTTTTTCTTCACGAGCTCACCCCCCTGTGGCCCTGGCACAATGGCCATGCTCTTGCCATGGGAGAAATTTGCAGACGGGTTCTCCATATGGAAGGACGACCCCCCACTTGCGGAACCACCACCACCACCACCGCTGGCCCCTACATTGGGCTGAACTGAAATGTTGGGATTTGAGAGGTTCTTGAAAACCGGCGGTCCATGTGTGTGTATGCCGGCTGGTTGAGGGCCTCCACTAGGCCCTCCATGGATATTAGGGCCCGGCACTGGATTTCCGGGCCCAGCACCTCTGTTGAGGTAATATGCAGCTGAACCTGGATATGCCATGCCTTCTCTCCCATCCATGCATTTACTGTGTCAAATGCAAGCTAAAGATCGTAATTTTTTCCCAAGTAGTTCGAAGTAAAGATTTTTTTTTTTATTTTTATTTTTTCTTATCCTAAATCCGCAAACCTGAAACTAGCGCAGTAAAGAAACAAACCCTAAGAAACAAAATTGAGCAGAACAGCTCAGAAAATTAGAACACAAGAACCGGAAATGCTGAAAATTTTAGCAAGGGTTTAACATGGGTTTTCCGCAATTGGGTAGGGGAAGTAAAGGATCGAGTGAATTAGAGCTATCCCCAGTCTCACCTGACAAAATAACGGCAAAAAATTGAAGAAAGATTGAACTGTGGCACAATGAAGCACACAATCAAAGCTTATTCGGTGAGTGTGAAGAACCCATATCCATCCAACAACTCAAGTTTCAGCTCACTCACAACAACTCGCTCCCAACTACACTGAAGCACATTTAAAGAAATTTCAAAAAAAGGAAAAAAGGAAAAGGTAAATGAAAAGACGACAATTGTAACCCTAGATTTGAGATTTGAGAAAGATGGAGGGAGGGTAAAGACAAAAGTGGGATGAAATTGAAAAAAAGATTTGAGCTTTTGAAGTAAAGAAATGACTTGAGTCTCTTCCAACTTAACTATTAATCTCGTGTTCGAGTCCTGAAAAATGCAGCAGTATTAAAAACTCTTGAGGTCGGTTCTCCTGTGGATCCGAAAACCAGAAGGTCATGTACCAAAAAAAAAAGAATCATTTTTCCTTGTTTATACAATCGAAGCAATAATTTTTGTTCTGGGGCCTGAGATGGGTTTTGGTTTAGTGAGGGGGTTGATGTTGAAATGGCAAATGTGGTACAGTTGGGTGCACCTATAAGTACCACCACCACGTCCTTGTCGCAACAACACTAAAATAGTTACATTTTGGGCATGTTACATTTTGGCATGTTTGGACACACACATATCTGCTCAAAACGAGTTTTTTTTTGGTTAAAAAAGATTAATTTTAAACAAAATAGTATGGTTAGTTACTAGTGAGATTTTAAATTTTATATTAAAATAATATTTAAAATAAAATAATTAATGTTAGATTTGATATAAAAGTTGGAGAAAGATATGCAAGTGATGATTAGTTAAAATTATATGAGTTGATGAATAGCAAATTAAAGTCGATGTGATATGTAAAAATGGTTGGTTGATATTATTTAATTATATTGATAATATTAAGGATAGTAGTTTATAAGTTAAAAGTTGAGTTAGATTTTGAATATGAATTTAGTATGGATTGAGTTTTTTGACATACAAACATATCATGAAGTGTTTGAAATTTATTCCCCAAAAAAGGAAGAAGAAAAAAATGTCAGTAGTTTGTACCGTGGGTACATGGTTTTGTACTAATGTGAAATATTAAGGGCGGATATCTTTTACACCTCATTATATATAAGTTTTTCGTTTACCCACTACCTATCAAAAAACTTCTTTTTCACCTCAAGACTCATGGACAATTATGCGATATAATAATCGCATATCCAAATGAACAGTTGTGCATCGCATAAATACTAACTCACATCATACGAAACACTTTCGTATATGTTGTAATTACATATCCAAACCCACTGCATAATTCATTATATGTGAATTTATTTTGCATATTTAGTTATCAAGTATCCAAATTGATCGCCGCATATTTTTTCAATTTTATGCTATATATTTTTTCACAGTTTAGAACTTGCACATCCAAATCGTACGCATAGTTAATAATTATGAGAAATAAATATTATGCATATCCAAATACACTACATAATTTACCCTATGCAAGAAAGTTTTGCATTTTAAGCTATAGCATATCCAAATCAAGCGTCGCATATTTTATAATTATGTGGCATTTTTTTTTTTTTTTTTTTTGCATAGTTTACTACTCGCATATCCAAATCTATAACGCAGTATAATTAACGATTATGCGTAATATGTTCGCATATCAAAATCGAAAGCCGCTTAATTCAGGACTATTTCATTTTTTGGTCAATCCATATCATTGTTCGCATATCCGCAGAAAATGTTTTGCATATTATGTATAATTTACACACCACTATGATTGTCTGATTTTCATGTTAAAAACTTAAACACATCCATATCAACGTCGCATAATTATCAATATGCGAACATATTTCGCAAATGATTCGCATAGTTATGTATCACATTGATAACTGCTTTCATTTTTTTTTTTTT